GCCTTAGCTGGGCCAGGGTTGCAACCAGGATTAAGCACAAGGGAAGACAAATTAGGCTGCTGCCAGGTGGCTCATACCGTGTAATCCATCCACTTTTTTTGAGGCCAGGCGTTGGTCTGGTTTTGGATTACTTTTGAGTTCAGAAATTTGAAAGACCCAGCCTGGGGCAGGCATGGTGGCCACCTATAATCCCTTAACACTTTGGAGGCCACGGGTGGGTGGATCACTTGAAGGGTCAGTGGGTTTGAGACCACCTGGCCAAAGCCTTGTCTCTTCCTAAAAAAATACAAAAGGTTAGCCAGGCGGTGGGCAGATGCCTGTAATCCCAGTTACTTGGCGGGGGGCGAGGCTGAGGCTGCGTGGATTACAGAGGCATGTGAGCCACTGTGCCCAGTTCAAAGGAAGGAATGATGTTATAAGAATAAAACTTCAAATCATAAAAGATACAAATGTCAGGACATTTTAAAACATTCAAACAAACAGCTATCAAAAGATATATAACGGAAAGGTTGCTTTCTGGCTCATGACATGAACAATATGAACCTCAGTGATATAATCATCTGAACAAAGCGATTAAGAACATTTAAGACGGCTAAGGATAAGAGATTGAAATATGTCCCCGCTGACCGCTCTTGTGTTGAGATCCGTTGGGCCCACGCCTGGCCTACAGATGGCGCTCAGTGCCATGGTTGTCACAATGCCGAATTCGCGTTCAAGCCAGAAAGCGCAGAGATGAGACTTGAGGGTATGTCACATAAAGTAATCAGGGGGTTCTAACAGGGCATTCTGAAATGCTTAGGTATTGAGTGTAAGTTGGAGATTAACCAATGTCAGATGACACCAAGTCAGGGGGGATAGTACCAAAACTGCAACAGCCTGAGCCCATAAAGTAAGGTGGAAAACTCGTAGTCTGGCACATTCTATTTGGCCAGTAGAACATTTTAAAATTTGTTTTACTTTAAATATCTTTAGAAAAGATCCCCCACCATATTCATCATATAGGATAATGTACCTCACCTTGCACAATAAACCCCTCCTATGTCACATGCCAGCCAAACGACGTATGAATGCCACATGAATTGATCCACCTCCGAGCCCTCTTACATTTTGTTTATTTGCCTTCAAGCAAAAATTTCATTAGATTTTCCCTGGAAGGAGCCTTCTTGGAATGGTTACATCTCATACAGCATCCCTCCTTTTCCTGGCTAGCTCTGTTTCCAGCTCCCCTATGGAAACCTGTTCTCCTCCACATGAAGAGGAGCGTTCGGGGGCTTCTAGGGTAGCTGCTGAGATAAGTATATTTCCTCTTACTTATCACCATGACAAGAGTAAAAGGCAACTTACCTTTTGAAAAAAGTCTTCCCCACTTCTGCCTTTCCCTTCAGCAGCAGCTGTAAATAAAAATGTGCACATTTAAAATACTTTTTCAATGTATGTATTCAAAAAACTTTCGAGCATCAGATATGAGGATGCAAAAGCAAACAAGATGCCAGCCTCGCTCTCCCACAGCTCAGTGTCTGCTAATATGCCTCACTGGGAAGCAAAATTGGTAAAGACTAGCACGCTAATCCATCAATTACACATCTCTAGGTTATTTAACACTCTTTTGCTTTGTCTGAAAGACTCACGAACCCCTACACACTTAGATGATGAAAGTGATCTCGGCCTTTCATAGTTAAAGAACTATATGAATAAATGCAACTCTCAAAGTAATCAACTGTAACACTCCAAGCACTTCCTATCTGTGATCAATCCCAGGCAGAAGAGGCTGCCTTGTCAGCAGGTGGCTCATGTATATGGCCTACTTCTAAGCTGTTTCCATTTTATGCTTTACAGTGAGTATATATTCTACTTGAATTTCAATTGGCATCATATACTTTTAATTCACTCCTTCATTTGTATATACAACGAGAGAAAAAAAGAAAAACAGAATTAAACAGTAATGGTGAAAGTCACAGCCCACAATAAAATTGCATGTAACATTAATTAAAATATCACTGTATTTGAACATCATTTTTATAGATAAATGGTAACCCATGAATACAGGACAAACCCATTTCTCAGTCTGTGTTCATAAGTCTTGTGACTATGAACATTTTGTATGCATTTGTGTTGCAGGGTGGGGAATTTGACAAAAGGAGAGAAGCGATAAAAGAGTCAATAGCATCTTGCTTGCAACAGACTCAGACTGCATCTTTCTAAGGCCAAACAGGACTCTGATTCGGGTGTAGGGTGGAATAGTGGTTAATGAGAGAAGCCTGGTCAGGACAAAGAAAGGTGCTGAAGTAAAAAGTACTGGAAATTAAAGTCTGGAAGACCACAGTAAACCAAACACCTGCTGGGCAATACCTCAGCACAGCCATGTTTGTGAGCAGAAGTGCATGTGTGTGTGTATCCAGAACACTTGTTAAAATGACTAAAGACCCAAGAAATAGGGCAGAGCAATCACTTAAGAATTCCATCTGTCACTTAGCAAGTTTTGACAAGCATCTACCATAACTTTGACACTGTTAAGTGAAAGAGTCAAAACTTGGGAGGCCGAGGCAGATGGATCACGAGGTCAAGAGATCAAGACCATCCTGGCCAACATAGTGAAACCCCATCTCTACTAAAACAAAAATTAGCTGGGCGAGGTGGTGTGTGCCTGTAGTCCCAGCTACTTGAGCGGCTGAGGCAGGAGAATCACTAGAACCCAGGAGGCGGAAGTTGCAGTGAGCCAAGATTGCACCACTGCACTCCAGCCTGGTGACAGAGTAAGACTGTCTCAAAAAAAAAAAAAAAAAAAAAGATTCAAAACTTCAGAAATTCTCTCTGCCCTCAAAGAAATAACAAGTATTCAAATTCTTTTTTCACCAACTTAAATTTTACAGTTAAATATAAGACACATTGTCTATTTTTGTAGAAATGTGTATTTTTTACCAACACATTTTTATCCAAACAACAGATTGCAGAGTACATGTTTCTGGAAATTCCAAGGACAATCTGAAAAAACATAAAAACAATGGCTGAAAAGGAATTTAAAAATTGCCTTCTAATGTGTGGTAGGGCTGAATAATGACTCCCGGCAAACAGGTTCATGTACTAATCCCCAGAATCTTACATGGCAAAAGAGATTTTGTAGATGTGATTAAGTAAAAAGATAGGAAGATTATCCTGAATTAGCCAGATGGGCCCAATGTAATCGTGTCCTTAATAAAAGAAGCAAGGGGCTCAGAGAACAAGAAAGTGATGTGACAAAGGAAGCGCAAGGAGAGATGGTTACATGACAACAAAGGACAGATCAGAGATGACCAAGATTTGAAGACAGAGGAACAAGCCATGAGCCAAGGAATGTAGGTGGCCTCTAAGAGCTGGAAAAGTCAAAGAAATTATCTTTCCCTATGGCCTCAGTAGAGAGTACAGTCCTGCTAACACCTTGCTTTCAGCCCAGTGAAAACCACTTCGGATTTCAGACCCAAAAAGTAAGATTTCTGTTGTTTTAAGCTACTACACTGTGGCAACTTGTTACAGCAGCAAAAGCAAACTAACCTATAATGCTAATGTCTTTTTAACTTCTCTTTTTGAACAAATTCCACGTCATCAATAGCATGAACTGCACCCAGACACTGTCACGCCAAGTGTCAGGTTTCAGCCCAAGTGGAGGACCAAGGGGAGGGGGTGGATGAGTGGTGAGCAGCTGAAAGAACACTCGAGGAATCATAGGGAGTTGTGGCATGGCTTTATTCTCTCTCAGTGCAAGTTAGCCTGGGTGCCAGCCGGGGCACGAACCGTGGGTGCAAACCTGGGCGCAAGTCAACCCAGGCGCAAGTCATATGTACAGCGTTAGCAGGGTAATTATACCTTTTACAGACAATAGTGGCTGCAAGCCAAGCACGAGCTCACATGGGTGATCACCACGTGTTGTGGTTATGTAATGAGTGAAATTGTGCACGTGCGCTCCAAACTCCAGACTCACACGCTAGACCGGATGTCTGCCTTGGCCTATACTTGATCACAGCAGATTCATTTTCCTTATACTCCACCCCCTAGGCCAAGGGAGACACAGGCCTTGGACACACAGGTCCAACACATAGGCCTCATACATAGGCTCTGGGCATGCAAGCCAGGCCCCAGACACACAGGTCCGACACAAGGCCTTATACACAGGCTCTAGGTACACAGGCCCCAGACACTCAGGTCCAACATATAGGTCTTACATTCCACCCCCTAGGCAAAGAGAGTTTTTCTAGTGGGGAGACATGCCCACAGGGTGGAACCCTGGACCCAGAGGCCACAGCAGTAATACATGAACAACAACTCCAGGTTATGGTGGGCAACCACCTCATGGTGACATTACACCAATGTTGCTTTACACATTTAGTCAAGCTTTTATTTCCCTGCCTTAAGGAGCACTGGGGCAGGCAACAATAGGTTACCATTAATCCCTATACTTGGTCGGAGGAAGTCATCCTTCCTTCCATAGGTTTTATCACATGGCTTGGCCCTATATGGGCCAGTGACCAACTAACTGGCCACTTCTGTTACTTTTAGGTAGTTAACCACAAGGCTAAGCCTCAATAAACTACCAAGCTATTGCTGCAGATTACCGTTGGTGTCACCACCGTGGTGATCACCACTCACACTGCCCTGATTTCAGCCCATTGGCTACTTTGTCCATACCTCGTATCAAATCATATGGTGTCAGTACTAGGGTGAACTGTGACAGCAGTCCAGGCAATAGCAGCACCCAAGCTAGACCCATTCATATACCATGCTCTATCAGGAATGGAGGGGTGCCTCACGCCCCATGGCCTTATCTTGCATTAGGACTACAAGTCCCAAGACCTCTTGCAACTCTGCTGCTAAAGGATTTGTACTCCGTGTACTCCACTGCTCCAAGTAGGCACCACACTTTGCTAAAGTGGATGTCTGTGCTAGCCCATTCTGGGGAGTCGTTATCCATGAAGGCATCCATCCCACTATCAGCTAAGTCATCCGCACGACGACTGTAGCCCACCCTGCCATGCTCTCATGAGCCTGAAGGGCAGCATATGCAGTTACTAACTGCTTCTCTTATCAGTGAATACTGGAGCTCAGCTCCTTTCCACAGTTGGGACCAAAAGCCTACTGGCATTCTCAAGTGCTCCATGCACTACTATAGGCCCCAGGCAAAACTATCTGTGGTCACATGCACATCTAGCTCAAACACGTGCCCCTGGTCAACTACCCGTAGGGCTTGTGCCTGCTGAATAGCCCACTCAGCTGCCAGGACGGTAGTCTCAGCCGCACTGTCTTAAATCTAGGCAAGGGGAGCGTTGTCACTTCTAAATCTGCAAGAGAATCAGAAGTTAACATAGTATCATTAACAAGACCATGACATATGGTGGGGCTATGCATATAGCCCTGCAGCAACACTGAGAAAGCCCACTGTTGCCCTCCCATGAAGGCAAACTGTTCCTGGCTCTCTGGAAAAGAACTCATCGGCCAAGTCCACCACATAGTGGTACTGTCTCAGTTTTGTCAAGCCCACTGATAGACGGCATGGCTGCCAAGCCATGTGAAATATCCATGCCCAAAATGTATCTGTGCTGGTGTCTACCAGCACCAGCACTCGCTATACGCTGGTGGGGGAACAGTGCACTGTGAACTCCACATGTGGCCTCCAGTCATCTGGTGTTTCCCCAATTCAAACCTCAGTCAGTTCCCTCATCATAGAGAAAAGGCTTTATACCCCCAGCTGGCTATAGCACATATGTAGTCTTTGAGTTGAAGTGCCCAGGTGGGACCAGGTTGTACAGCAATGTCCTTCTCCCACTTGGGCATTTTCTGGAATTGCACAAAGTTAAGAGTACTTCATTTGGCTGCTTATCGATTTTCTCTCAGTCAATCCTGGCCAAAATCAAATCAGTCCACATCTGTGAGCATGTCACTTGTTGGGGCCCCCTTTTCTCCAGTCGGGGGACCCCTGCAGGCAGGGCATCTTCCTCTTCTTTATGGTGCAGACTCCTCAGTCCCACCAACAGCTTCCTCAGTATCAGAGTGGGGGTCTCTGGCTGACACGACAGCCCCAGGCCTGCATTCACAGCAGCCTCTAATTCCTTTCCGAGTTCTGTAGCCGGGCCTCCAGGCACGCCGCCTGTGCCTGAAGGTCCCCGTTTATGGCAGCTTCTAAATCTTTTTCTTAGCTGTGTAACCAGGCCTCCAGGCACCCAGCCTGCACCTGGAGGGCCCTTACCTCTGCTGCATCCCTCAGGAACTGAGGGTGTACTTTCCATAGTGCATTCAAAAATGCCTAACCAGCTCTGCCGGCAAAAGCTCACTCCTTCTCAGTGCTCTGCACTTCCAGCTGCTTCAGCACCTTTTCCATGCCCGTGGAGGGCCAATCTACCGCCACCTAGGTTTCCACCAGAGC